ACACAAAGATTGATGCAATGTATATTTTTTTTCTCTAAAATACTTTAACCCCTGATCTTTTTAAGTTATTGTTGGTTTCTTTTAAAAATTCACTACTATTGGAGGATAAATAAACTTTGTTAAAGGATAATGTCCCCACACTCTGTTTTTTTCTTTTTCTTTTTTAGTACCCCACCTTGTTAAAATTTGTGACCCAAAAAAAAAAAGCTTTAAAGACCTTGACCCCTTTCCACCCCTATACTTTTCAAGTCTTCTGAAGAGAATTACATTATGCCAACTTAAAAGAATTGGTTAGAAAATTTGAACTATGAATTATATTTTTTTGATTTAAAATATAAAAAATATTTATATTAAATAATTTCCAGTTTATATGAACGGACTTGAAATATTTTATTTTTGAACGAGTTTGAGGATAAACTATAGATCTAATCTTGGACCCAATCGAGTTTGAAAGGGAAAAATCAAAATCATTGATATTTTAAAAAAATAATTACAAATCTGTAATAAATTTTATAAATATTAATAATTAAAATTTTAATTTTTTTTATAAATCTATAATTATTTTTTTAAAATTTCATTGAATTGTAATTTTTCATTTGTTATGGTATCGGCTCAGTTCGAACCAAACCCAACCTATCTCATATTCATCCCCTAGTTAGACCTATAACAAGATTTTAAAAATCATATATTTTCATTTTAGACTTGTTCATCCTATTATTGGGTATTTATTCGTAAATTTATTTTCACAAATTTATATTTTGCTTAGTTTAAATTATTTTTTTATGTTCTAATAAATTATAAAGATAACATAGTTATCAAAATATTCCTAATAACAATAGGGTGAAGCACATATTAATATTCACATTGACAGTATGAATGTTCAGAGGAGAGGAAATAATAGCACTAAAATAGATAAATAAACAATGATAAACAGAAAAAAGTAAAACAGTTTAAATAAACAGTAATAGAACTTACAATTGTTTACTAAAATGAAGCAAGCACTTCTTCAAAATACATAATTTGAAAATAATTTTCGAAAATATAAAATTACAGAGAAAGCCATTTTTTTGAGGATGGAATGCTCTTAATTTTTTCTAACACTGCCTTATTCTTGACTGAAGAGGTCCTTTTATAATCAAAAGAGACTACTGTTAGCCTTGTGAGTGAATACTATTAGCCTTGTGAGTGAATAATCTTGACTTGAAGGGAGCATCAGGAACACATGGGAGCTGTCTGCTGCTTTCGGTGAGTGACTAAAGTTGATGGCTGCCTTTTACTGTGCTGAATTTGTGGGTGTGATGAATCATGCTAAATGATGAATAGTAATATTGACTTTTTGATGAATAGTGAATAGTAAAGTTGACTTTTTTTACTATTTATTGGTTAGAGGCATGCGACTAAGGGAATCAATATAGATATATATATATATCAACAGCTTTTCTCAAAAGACGAGTATTGATGGAAGCTGATAATTATAGCTATATAGAATCCAATGACTGAATTAAGCATATAGGTCCTGAGCATCTTGAAACTCGAGTCCATATGGATTTTGAGTAGTTGAACCTTCAGAAGAGTTTGAACTGTCTGAACCATCTTCTGAACTGTTGTTATCTGAGTCTGACTTGACTTGGGCCATGAGGAGACGAGCCATTTGGATGAGCTCATCTTTAGATGACTTGGACTTGGGCTTAACCTTTGATTTGGACTTATCCTTTGACTTGAGCTGGTTAGTACTGGACTTTGCTAACTTGGATTTAATCTTTGATTTGGATGACTTGGGCTTGGAAGAACTGGATGTTGGGCTTCCAAGATTGACTAAAGGAAGTTGGCTTCCTTGTGCTAATGGAGCAGTTAGGTTCTGCTGAGCTTTAATCATGGCTGGTGTAGGGGCATGAATGTTGATTGAAAATTCAATTTGAACAATTTCAACAATGTGTGGAATCTTGAAATTATCCTACCATTTAACGATGTGTTGCCGGTAAATAACATCATCAGAAATATCATATTGCCATCTGAATATCCAAGGGATTTTGTATTTGGATATAAAAATAAGCAATGGAGGGAATTTCCTTTGCTATGAAGTGAATGAGAAAACAGTGGAAAAATAGTTGACTTGATCCATAATTATGGATGAGAAGATTTCTGGGATGGCGCCATACTGAGTCCACCATCGTAGAAACCAAGTGGGTAATTCAGATTTGAATTTTTAATCAAACTGGAGAAACCAGGAGTGACTATTTGACTCATTTTGATACAAGAGAACTTTGAACCAAGCATCAATGTAATCATAGTAACTATATTGAATTGAATGACCAGTCAGATCTCGTAGTTGATACGGAGAACCTCAATCAACCAGAGAAACAAAGTTGTGAATATAGAGTGAATGATACACAATTTTACTTGTGTAAGTGCGATCATGAATGAGTTTAATCACAATTGACTGATGGTTGAACAGGATATCTTTGTAAAAAGTAATTGTTTTTTCTGGATGGAGAGGAGTAAAATGCCATCCAAGAGGGAAATAAGATTTAACCAGATCATGAGCAGTATGACTCTTTGGGTGACTAGGTTCTTTGAAAAAGAGATTAGTAGTGGTTGATTTAACATAATCAGATCGGGCTGATTTAATAGGATTAGGAGGGTATGGAGTAACTGCTTGACTAGATGAAGCAAAAGGATCAGTAGCCAAAGCAGATGTATAACTAGGTTTAGGAATGTCACCAAGAATTTGGTAACGGTTAACCAATTCAGCAGGATGGTATTTGGTGACTAACTCCAATGGAGGAGGAACAAATGGTTGACTAGAAGGGACCAAGGCTTTGGAAGGAGGCCGTGGACAAGACATCTGCGAAATAGAGGAGATAAATTAGTATCAACTGAGGATATCTAATTGATGAGTATGTTCATGTAAACAGTTAATATAATGAGCAAGTTGTTGTTTCTGAGCTTTAATTCGATGAAATTGTATGTACTGGGCTCTTTTAGTAGGTAAATGGGTTGATTTGAGAAAGGTAAGGCGACGGGCAGTATGCTTAATCAGGGATTTGTAGTGTGTTAACTTTCTATTTATGGGATGAAATAGAAGGAATATGCATTATTATCCACCCTGTAAAAATTTTTTGGTAAGAAACTCATGAATAGAATTTTGACAATCAGGAATATATTTAATGTCAAAATAAAAAATACTTAGATGAATGTTCACATTACCAAATTACTAAGGGTTTAAAAAATATTTATAAGGATAAAATTATTCATAAAATATCTTAAAGTAGTATTTGGTTCAATAAAATGGAATGGAATAGAATAATTATCCCATCAAAATATTCATTCCTATTTTTTGGTTGACTAAAAAAAATAATAAAAAATGAAATCAACATTTACTATTATAATGAAATGATCATCCTATAAGGGAGCCAAAGGAATAAGTATTTCATTTCATTCAAACTCATTTCAGTGAATTAGGCTTATTTTGAAAAGATGGTTAAAAATTAATTTTTTTTACTTATTTTAAACTTCTTTTTAAAAAGCGTGTAAAAAATGTGAGAAATAATATAATTCAAAATGAATTAAAAACTGTTTTTTGACTTTTTATTTTATTTTATTATTCTTTCCAAAAAAAATCCTTAGAGCCTAAATATAAAAATCAAGATAAAATAAGGCTCCGTTTAGTTGTGTTTTGTAAACGTGATTCCACACCTATATGTGAGTATGATGTTTGGTAGGAGTTTTGGAATCACGTTTCCAAAACTCTGCAGAGAACTCTGTCTTAGACGTGCTTTTCAGAATTTTTTTTTTTTGCAAATTTTGCCTAATCGGTTGTTCGGCCGATTGACCGGAATAGTATTTTTTTTTTTTTACAATTGATATGTTAATTTTTATATAATCGAAAAAAATATTTTCTGAAATTTTTAAATTTTTTTATATGCTTTAAAATAATTTTGAGTTATATGTTTGGATATGAGTTATAAATTTTTGTATCAAATATCAAATGTCACATCAACAATTTTACACTCAAATCAAAATTATTTTCAAAACTATTTTCAAAACTCTTTACCAAACAAATTTTTCATACTCAAATCATAATTTCAAACCTTACAAATTCAAAATATAACTCATACTCTCAAATTATAATTACAAAACTCTACCAAACGTAACTTAAGATTTATTGAAATAAAAAAATCTTATAAATTAATTGAGTTTCAATAAATTCCCCTTCATTAAATTATTTATTTATTTATTTTAAACTTGTCAAACATGTCGTGGGAATTGGAGTCACTGTTGTGGCAAATGCACAGCAGTGACTGTTGTGCTTCATTTTGTGATGCATTATGGGATTATTTTTATGATATGAACCATTTATTTTATAGGGTTTGTTGAGTACTTCAAGCCTACCAAAAATCATATTAATCGGATACCAATAACTATATGATTGATAACCAAAAAAAACAAACAAGAAGTTTTTCTTTTGAAAAATAGTATAAAAATATGCAATTCGATCATATAGTTGTTGATATCCGATTAATATGATTTTTGGTAGGGTGCATGTCGTGTAACACATGTAAACAAAATCCAAAAATATTTAAGACTCTCATTTTGTGGAGGCTACTGCAATCCCTTTAAATTTTAACTATTACTGTCATATACGTGGGATCCACGTCATTAATAATAAGTTCAAGTTTAGAAACTTGTAAAAGAATTAAAAAGTCAAAAAGTTACTCAAAAAGTTAAAAAGTTAATATTATTCACCGAAAGTTAACAATTACGGCTGCACAACTCTCAATTCAAATTTTTCTCTATAAATCAATTTTTATAATTTTTTATTACATATTTTTTTATAAAAAATCAAAAAATTAATCCAAACATTTATATTTTTAACCTCAATTTTTTAATTAAAAAAATAAAAAATATATATTTATTTAGGACATTCCAAACTACCCTTAAAAATTCAAAGGATGTTATAGAGGCCTTAAAAAAAAAAAACAAAGAAAGAGGTCTCATCCTACATTTATACATAGAATTGGTGGGCAGAGACAGAGACAGAGACAGACACAGAGAAACATGGACGGAAATGATGATGATGATAAACAGGTCCAGTGGTCTACACTTCCGAAAGATGTGATACCCATTCTCAGCAACCGCCTCGAAACTCGCATCGACCTCCTCCGCTTCCGCTCCGTCTGTCGCTCATGGCGCTCCTCCTCCGCCGCCTCTCTCTCTTCACCTCCTCTCTCTCTCCCCAACCTCCCTTTCCCCTTCTCTCCCCTCGCCGCCGACCCCCGCCGTGGCACCTTCACCGCCGCCGCAACCACCGTCTTCCTCCTCCAACCGTTCGACGAAATTCCCCACAGAACTACTTCCCACTATCTAATCAAGGTCGAAGAAGATGCCAAAACCCGTCTCGTCTGTCCAGTCTCGGACCTGGTCCAAACCCGTTTTCCCGCTGGGTTTCCGAAAGAAGTCAATTTATTGGAGTTTCGCATATCTCAAGTTCACAATTCCTACACATTTCGAAACCTCGAGCTATTGAATTGTAAGCCAATCGAAGCTGGGCTTCCATTTGTGAAGAAAATTCTTGTTCTGGGTTCGAACCCAGATAGTAGAATCGTTGTTGTGGTGTATGAGATGTGGGATTTGGATGGAAGATTGGCTATGTTGAGAGTTGGAGACGATTCATGGACTCCAATTCATACCCAACACTTTGTTTGTGATGATGTTATAGTCTATAAAGGGAATTTCTACACTGTTGATCGATCAGGCAGAGCTTTCGTGCTCGGCCCGAATATGAATTTGATTGAAATTGCGCCACCGCCAACAAATGAAAATGGGAAGAAGAAGAAGAAGCATTTGGTTGAGTCCATTGGTGATCTGCTTTTGGTTGATAAGTATTTTGAATTACACGAAAGGAATGTTTTTTACTACAAAGATGGGAAAGAGAGGGTTAAGAGTAGTAATCGTGAAATGGTGTCTGAAATGAGAGTTTATAGGTTGAATGTAGATGAACATAGATGGGTTGAGGTGAGAAGCCTCGAAGATCAGATTTTGTTTGTGGGTGATGATTGTTCCTACTCTGTTTCGGCTAGGGAGTTTCCTGGATGTAGAGGGAACAGGGTTGTTTATGAGGATCATGCTGTGGCTTCTCAAATTGAGGAAGAAGATGAGTTGTTTGATGGATTGTGGGTTTATCAAATTGGTGTGTTTAACTTGGGAAATGGGCGTGTTCGGTCGCTAGCAACTTGTCCTCGGCTTGCAAGGATCTTCTGGCCACCTCCATCTTCATCTGGGTGCTCAATGTAAGTGTTGATATGCTAACTTTTAGTTTGTTGACCTCTGGTAATGGCTTATTATAGTGGCAAATAGAGACCAATCTTTCAAACAGTCCTGACCATATCTAACTAGGCCTCTAAAGAATTGAATTGAGGCCTTCAACCATAAAAAATTTATGAAATTTTCTTGGTGAGCATCTCCAACGCACTAGGCATATAATGCTTATTAGATAAAGTGCCTAGTATGACTCAATTTTTTCAACTCCAATGCATTAGGTGATTAGGCATTTTAGCTTAACTCACATTCACTATCTACATATAGCTAGCTTTCAAGGTTAGGCAAAATGTATTTAATCATTAAGATTACTTCCCTCCATCTTTGTTGTTGATGTGGCATTTTATAAAATTAATAGTATTTGGATGAATAGTTAAAATAAAGAACATGGTTGGAGCAAAAACACGAAACAGTTGATAGGCAAAATAAAATATATATTTTATAGTAATGTTTAGATAGGTAAAATGCCTATTACCGTTGGAGATGCTCTAATGATTGAGTTACCTTTGCATCGATCCCTCTTGTGTGCAAAACGTTCCCTCGTACCAAACATGAAAAAGTAGTTGGATTGGATAAATTTCTAGCTTTAAATTTAATGTAATGAAGGTTTGGATGAAGGGAAGTAGTGTTGAATGAAACCTTGTTCTATCAATATGAAGTTGAATTGCTTCCATATTTGTTCTAGTTTCAAGCAACGGTTGGCGCTTTTGATTAACCATGATTTGCAGTGTAAATGTCTCTCTCGAACACTCGTGTCCTGCTTCTTCATCAGAGTGTAGGAACTCAAATTTTAAGATTTTTAAAATTTTGAAACTCAGAAGTCTAAAACTTTTGGGAATAGATCTTTTTGAACTATACTAGGAGTCTAGGACATTGGATTTAAGGGAAGCACTGGTTGCTGCATGGCCCTGGTATGAGCATGCTGAAAGCATCTGAATTGAAGAAACGTAGTGTTGTAGTGCATGCCTTGCCGCCTTTATTTTTTTTTTCTTTTTCATTCCTTCATACTTATGCTTGTATTTCTTTTGGCATTCTTGAAGAGTTTTGATGATAATGACGTTTTTACGAGAAAAACACATCGTTCATTACATAGGATGTGCCATTTCATTATTTCACAACATAAAGCCCAAGACTTGTTTGACTTGACTGACAACATTGCAACAACAAATACGGTCAGTCATCTGCTCAAAAAACAAATACAGTCAGTCATGTTTCAACACTATCTACCACTTTTAGTGCAGAAAACACAGATCTGAAAGCCAAATCTGTGAAAGAAACCAGCATTGGCAATCCAACCAGCTCACCCTTTGGCGGCACATTGTTCCCAATGTCAAACACAGGAAGAAGCAGCACTTTTGGATCGAGTGCTTCCAAAGTGGTCAGCTCAATCACCAGTTTTGGTGCAAGTTCTTCGGCTACCTCTTCTAGTATATTTGGTTCTACTTGGCAGCCGGCCAAATCTTCAATCTCAACTTGCTCGTCCGTGTCGCTGTCAAGTGGGCCCTTACAATCCTTCATTGCAGCTACCAACAGTGTACCTACAGTCTTTGGATCATTTACTGCTACCTCATCCACTTCAACTCGTGCTACCTCTTCTTCCCAAGCTCAGCCTGTTTTTAGTGCCTCCATTCCCGTCTTCACGGCTGCCTCGGGTAATAACGATCAGGTCAAAACTGCCTCGGGTAATAACAATCGGGTCAAAACAAAGGACTGCATAGGCAAAGACGACCCGGTCCAGGCATCCACTGGCTTCACGTTTGGTACAGCCGCTCCATTGGTGAAAAACCCCTTTCAATTTGATATCCAACAGAATCAAAGCATTCCACAAAACCCTTCTCAATTTGGTGCATTTTCCGGTAGTGTAGAATTTAGTATTGGCGGCGAGTTCTCATTGTGTTCTGGCAGGGACAAGTCTAATCGTAAAATTGTCAGAGTTAAACACAAAAATAGGAGGAGGAGGTATATCATTGAACAAAATCTTTAGAGCTTGAAATTAGTGTCTGTTTTCTGTTTCGGTCAGTTTATTTGAGTCTCTTGGTGCTGACAAATGTCTATAGGCACGTTTGGGCTTTGAAGTCTGATGATTATGTTTTGTTCCTTTTCGAATTTTAGTTCCACTGGAAAAATTTCATTGTAGGCTTGAAATATCAGAATGTTAGATTTTTTTCAGTGAACTCCAGAATGTTTGTATCACAACTTAAATATTAACATCTTCGTCACTACCATTTGACGAAATTGAGAAGATACTATGACCATAAAAATGTTACCACCCTAAAAAACAATACACAAAAGTATCTAGAAAGTGAAATTTATAGACCACATTTATTTTTATTCAGAAAATCCATAAACAGAGCAAAACAGAGAGCCAAAAACGTACTTGGGCATTTACATGTCAAACTTTTAAAACGCATAATCAACCGCTATTTTTTTTTTTCGTAAAAGTTGCCATCAATAGGAAAAGCAGATCACCAAACTGGTGGGTTTGATAACTTCAGTGACAGTCTGATATTACAATTTGACAAAACAAAAGCTTGAAAATAACCCTAAAAAAGGGTATAAAGGCTTTGTGTGTGTGTGTGTGAGTGTGTGTGTGTGTGTGTGTGTGTGTGAGGTTACTAACTTCCTGCAAATCAGTGTCTAGCCTCTTTGACCTTCTTGGCCACAGCACATATAGCTCCGATGATTGCCACCACCACCCCGGAAATTATAACAGCAGATTTCAAGGATTGGATTCGGTCTTTGTTCACTTTCCCTGCTGCCTCATCTTGTTCCTCCTATGGTAGAACGATGAATGCAGTTAATGACATTCGACATTAATTTCAACAATGATTTAGATTTGAATATCATCCAATTGATGTAAAATATGGAAAGTAGAACCATTAAACCAATGCATTATTAATAATAATATCCAAATTTTAATCATCGTAGTATTATTATTGGGAAGGGGCCTCAAGATATGTTGGCTCTATGTAGTATATTTTAGGCCCTAGAATTTAGAAAGTGTGTTCTCACTAGCCAAATTGGGAGTTAAATTTCCAGATATAGTGAACCTGAACATTTGTTGATGCCACGTGTGTAGAGATGATGAAATATCTCAGATCTCCACGACTCTAATAAAATAGGTTTGGACGACTTTTTAATTTGGATAAACTATTAATAGATCTTAATAATTAAATTTAATTCTCATCAAATCTTATTGAAAATAAGTTTTAATAAAATCGTGACTAAAAGTAATTTTTTTGTAACGCTTTTTTTACATGTCACTAAAAATTAACATGACTTTTTTTGTGACAGTTTTTATAAATTGTTGTTAAAATTTATGATCAGCAACTTTTTTGTGATGAATTTTCAAACTGTCGCTAAAAGTTGAAAACTAGTAATGTAATATTTTTTTTAAACTATCGCTAAAATATATAATTAGTGACATTTTTTATGATAATTTTTAAACTTTCACTATAAATTAACAATTAGTGACTTTTTTAATAATGCTTGATAAAAAATACAATTAATCATTATATAATCTACTGGACAATAAACCTACCTATTAGAACTTTACACGCAAGTCCCTTCAATTTTTAAATAGGGTAGGGCCAGGTTGAATTTCAGATGAAAATAAAAATTCTGATAAATTCAGGTTGGGTAGAGAGGATACAAAATGACTTTTTTTTTTTTTTTATATATACATATTTTCATATTTGTTAGATGATATAAAATAGTTTTTAAGGGTTTTTTTTAAAATTTTTTTTTTGGATATCTCACTTCTTCTCTCCCTTCCTTTACTTTGTAATCAAATTCAGACCAATATCAAACAATATCACATTGTTTGAAGTCATTCATCAACCTTAACTATAATAAAATCATGTTATTAAAATTCAATACTATGACTATGTAAGTTGTAAAATTAAACCATCTATAATTAACCACCATAATCTTCATTAGTGAAATTGATGACAAACCCTTTGAACTGGCTGCATTTGCATGTCAGGTCCCTAATCTCATGTAGGAGGAAAAAAAATGAAACTAATTTGAAAAAAGAAAAATATAAATTTGGAAGAAATAAAGAAAAAAGAAAATTGCATGAAGAGATGTAAACTTATTACTACTAAATTTAGATTACCTGTAGTTGTTTAGGAGTGGTGTAGGCAGGATCAACCTGAAAATTACAAGTGTGTTCAGGGTTCATTTCTCCACCGCCGGAAACCGCCGTTGCCGCTGTGGCTATGGCTGTAGCTTCCAGGTCTGCCACGTCGTAGGCTGCCGGAGCTTCATCTGTGTCTTCTAGGGTTATCATTCTCTTCTTCATCCAAACCAAGAATTTCACAAAAACAATAAAAAGACCTTTGCTTTTGTTTTGCCTCTTTCTTTTTCATTTTTTGGGATGATCAAATGATGGTATTTTTCATTCATTATGGGTGGTGGGCTCAGCTTAACTGGACACGTGGACAACACTTGTCATCCATTCTTAGCAGGTGCCATCCATGCTGCACATCAAGCACATCTATGAATACAAAGGATTTTTTTTATTATTATTTATTATTTATTTATTTTTTATGAAGTAATTCATAAAAGTAATGTTACCGACCCCAAAAATTCTATTAAAATTTTTATCAAATATCTTACATGAGTGTGAAATCCACATGGGATTCACACGGTATGGGTCTTATACTCATGTGAGACATTTGATAAAACTTTTGAGATTTCTAACATTTTTTAATTCAAAGAGTAATGTTACCAGCCCGAAAATTCTACTAAAATTTTTACCAAATATCTCACATGAGTGTGAAACCCACATGAGATCCACATGGTGTGGGTCTTACCCTCATTTGAGACATTTAGTAAAACTTTTGAAATCTCTAGCATTTCTTAATTCAAGAGCACTCTCTTTGTGTTTGGTTTACAGGGTCGGCCCTGAGATTTATGGGGTTTTAGGCGAGTTTTGAAAGTGGGGTCATCCTACATCTATTTTTTTATAAAAAAAAAATATGGATAAAATAAAAGGTTACTAATAATTTCTTTATTATTGAGTAGTTACAAAAAAGTTTCTTTATACATATAATTATTAAAATTTATTTTCATATATTAAGATATAAAAAAATCATTACAAAGACTTAAAAAAGATAAAATAGGATATTGTTGTTTTATAGTTTAACATTGATATCTGATAACGAAATAATTATGTTATTATAATATGATATCTGATAATATAATCATAATCTACACAAATCACAATCCACTAATTATTTGATAACAAAACACAAATTATTGGAAAAAAAGTTGGGAGAAAAAACTAAGGTAAAATTATTTAATTAAATTATGATAAAGACAGATGGCAAAAAAATTAGGGCAAACAAAATTAAGGAAAAGAAATTAGGGTAAAATTATTCAATTAAAATATGATAAAGAGAGATGATAAAAAAATTAAGATAAGATTATTTATTCTATTAAATTCTTGACATTAGATTTTATTTGGACTTATTATATTATATATATTTATTTGGACTAATTATATAAATTTTTAATTAGGTCTAACAATGATTATATATATATTTTTAATTTGGCCTAACAAATTTTTTTGAGGAGTTTTTTAGACTGGGTCTCAAACAATAACAAAAGATTATTTTAAACTTTTAATTTAATATAAAATAAATAAATTTAAGATTTTATTTTATGCCAAAATTTAGAAACCTAGGCCCAGGCCTCAGTGGCCTTAGCCCACACCTGTTAGTTTAATGTTGCTTAAAGGCTTTTTTCTTTACCATAACATGCGAAAATTTATAAATATGACGAGACTTATCTTTGTAATTGTACATAATTTTAAAAAGTAAAACAAAAAAATATAATAAATTATCTGTCAATAAATTTTGTTATTAATTAATTAATTAATTTTTTATGATAACATAATAGAAGAATTAATTTGTAATAAAAATAAATAAATAACTAAATAAATAAAAACTAAATTTCAATCAAAAAATAGGGGTGAGCAGTGGATATACCAATCCGTCAAAATCGAACCGAACTGATCCGCCGCATTTTGGATGGATGCGTGATGGCGAGCGGACGATTGCGGATTGATTTTCTCTAATCCGCCAATCTGGCAGACGGATGGCGGATTTGAGATTCCTTTGGCTGTAACCGAACCGCCAAACCGCGAGCACCCCTATAAGACTTTGTGTTTTCAGTTTGTTTAAATATTCTGTTTGTGTTTTCAATTAAAAAAAAGTTTAAATATTCTATTGAAAAAAAGTTTTCAACTTGAATATCTTTTTTGAATTGAAAAAAATAAACGTATTATTTATCTATATTTTTAGTTTTTAAATCTATCTCTAAAAATAATAAATAGAAAATATGATATATGTTGGTTGATTTTTGTTTTCAAAAACAGATACAGATGTAACAATACAGAGACATACAATCTCTACTACTGTTTTGTTCATGGTTTTGGTGGTTTGAATTGTTTTTATATTTTAAGAATCACAGATTGTAATACTTTATGTGGGTGAGGCATACTGTGATTGTAGTATGTGGATGAGGCATGCAGTGATTGTGATATTCTAAAATTTCAAATTTTCTTGCTTTGGATGAGGCATGTAGTGATTGCAATATTTTTTTAAATCATTGACTATAATACTTTCTTTTTCTTTTTTTGAGGAAGTGCACAAGTTGAATTATGTTAAAAATTTATAAAATTTTAAACCGCCAAACCGATTCACATCCATCCGCCAAACCGCCAATCTGCTCAATCCACATCCGCCGAATTGGCGGACGGATGCAGATTGATTTTCTCCAATCCGCAGATCTGACGGATAGATGACGGATTAGAGGTTCTGTGGTCGCAACTGACCTGCGCCCACCCCTACAAAAAAACTCTAAGGAAGTCGATGTAATTTAAAATTAAATTTCAAGGAAGATTTTGTCATTTCAAAAAATTAGTAAATGTTTCTACAATTTTATTAAACATAAGGAAAGGTCAAAGTCTAACAACATATCATTTAATAAAATTCAACAATATAGACTTATTATTATTTTTTTATTGGACTAGACATTAAATTACCAAAAAAATTGGACAAAATATTACAAAAGATATTTACACCACATTTTATATTTCTGCTGATTGTGACCTATTAATTATGGTTAAATTTGATTATGATTTGTCGATTGAAATCATAAACTATCTTTAAAGAATAACATTGGCCACATTTGTTGTTCTATGCACCACATTTTATTTTTCTGTCAATTGTAACCTATTAATTATGGCCAAATTCGATTATGGTCTGTCGATTGAAATCATGGACTATCTTTAAAGAATAACATTGGCTATATTTGTTATTCTTATTATTATTTATGTCGACATGTATGTTGATGTGGCATGGCAGATGTGTTAAGAACTTGGTATATATGATGACATGTTAAATGGAGGGTTAGAAAGTTAGCCATTGCAACCATTTGAAAAGTAGTTGCTGAGATCAAGGAGCCAAAACTAAGTTAAAGTACAAAATCTGCAAATAGTTCCTATAAAGATAGGATATGATTGAGTGGAACAAAAATCAAGGAAGATCATGGATAGCTATAACATGAGGTGGCCAAGCAAGTATAAAATGTCACGACCCAAACCCGCTCCTGTAGGTTTAGCATCGTAACCGGCCAATAATCCGTGGATTACCAAAGGCCTCTTAACAGATAAGCACATAATAAGGGACTGTGGAAGCAAATGTACAAAACGTAAATAGTCCAATGAGCTGTGTCGATAAACATAGGACAGAATATTTCAAAACTTGTATATACATAAGCGTGTTGGTCGAAGGATATCATAATTACAAAACATTTACAAGAGTGTAATATCCAGGACCCAACTGTACAAAACAGAAAGAGACTAACATAAATACAAAACAGCCATGTAACTAGACTTCAATCAGAACCTCCTCAGAAGACACAACGGTTGGCTGACAAAAACAGAAATGAAGGCCGTCAACTCTGGCCCTGATCACGCGCCGGCTTACCTACATACATAATATAAACTGTGAGCGAAAGCTCAGTGAACAATAACAGAGTAAAAGGGTTTCAATGAATGAGTCCGTATAGATTTAGAATTCATAATTCAGTTTCGTATCAAATTCATAATTTGTCTAGATCATATACACGAATCATAAGTCATGCGTAAGTATACGTGATACATACATATGCGCTAACAGAGCAAATACAGAACTGATGCAGACACGCGAGGGTTACGAATAACCAGCTCCATAAAGGAACCTCCAGATCCGGGTAACAGAGAATAAACACGCTGAGCCCCATGATGGAGCCTCCGGTACGGGTAACAGAGTGCAGACAGATTAAGTTCCATGATGGAACCTCCGATATTGGGTAACCGCCAACACATATCACATGATACTAAGGATGTCACGAATACATATCAGAAATTGGACAATCATTCATTGTACAGAACATAACATTTCAGAAAACAATTCTTATGCCATCATACAGAAAATAAATAAGGTTGAATATAGCTTTACTATGTTATTACTCACAGTTGGCCTTGAGACAGATAGACGGAGCAGATTGGTCAAACGGTACACGGCACGTGACCTACATGACACATAACAGATACACACTTGAAACACACGTTCGAATTGTACATAACTTATGTCATTTGCTTTTAGTGTGTTTCTAACCTTTAATCCTCATTATGGAGTCTTTAACATGGCCTAGGAATGCCTAGGATGGAATGAGGCTGCAAGAATGTATTGGAAAACATTTTTTAAAACTTGCTGAAAATAAGGTCCACGCTCAAGCATGGCTTTCCTCGCTCGAGCGGACATGCAGACAATGAAGCTCCACTCGAGCGTGACTTTCCCCGCTCGAGCAGACTGTAAACTCTTGAAAAGTACAGGTTGCATGTTTTTCACGCTCGACGGACGCTCGACCTACGTTTGAGCATGAGACTCAGACCTTCGCTCGAGCGTAGATTCCCTCGCTCGAGCGGACTGCAAAACACAAAAATTTCTAGGTATATGCATTTCACGCCCGAGCATAACCACCGTCGCTCGAGCAGAAGTGCATGTACTCAGAGTGCACGCTTGAGCGTGAAGTTCCCCGCTCGAGCATGGATCAAATTTCTAGAAGTTCCAGATTCGATCACCAAGCTCAAACTTAACCTTTGAAGCATCCAAAACTCATTTTTCTGGGCCAAAACTTGAGGAAATACATGAAAACTCTTAATACAACATGCTTAAAGAATTATAACAAGAAATCATGGCCCAAAGGCTTGCCAATTATATAAAAATTCAACTTTAAACTCAAAATTAATTCATGAACATAACATGCATGTACATTTTTGAGCTAAGACCCTCCAAAACATGATCA